CGGCCAGACCACGTTGTACGTCGCGGGGTGAGTAGAGACCTTGGTGGACGCATCGGGGAGATGAAGCCACAGAAACAAAGACAGCTCCACCAAAGTAACACGGTCGCTCGGTGGGACCCCTGCCTCGCTCCCGCCTTCCGTCCCGTCCTCCCCCCCGCCCTTGCGGGGGGCGGGGCGTCGGTGGGTTGGAGGGAGGAAAAGATTCAGCATCTCCCAAAACAGACAGGCCGTGGGCTCGCCCCACTGCAGCACCCTTTGACTTTCAGATATCCACGTCCCGCGCGAGACCCAGGCCCAGACGACCTTTTGGGCACAGGGTCGTCCCTCTTCTCCCTTTTCGTCATTCGCCTCGTCCAGCTGGCTCGGATCATTGGCGGGCTCCAAGGTCGCGCTACGACGGAGGATTCGTATGAGCTCATGGATGATAGGAGGGGTCAAGGGCCTGTGATGTATAGACGAATCATAAGGGAAGGATACGATGAGAAATGTCAACGCAACTTTTCCCCCATAGGATACTGGTGAGCCATCAAAAAACCTTGGCTCCCTGAAGGAAAGCTTCTTTACGACGGGGCAAAATGAAGGCGCGCTAATGCCGATGCATTCCAAACGGAAGTCATCAAAAAACTACCCTGGCCTGTGTACGTACCGTATTGCACGCTGATTTAGGGGTAGAGCAGCCTCGAATCGCTCCTCTCGCAACCAAACCCGCATGGTCTCCCAGAGCCACTGCCGGACCTCCTCGGACCTGAAAGGGTCCTCTGAATGTATAAAATCTTCAAGAAAAACAGATGACTAGCAGAATGGAGGGAGTTCCTCAACTAGGAAGGAATGTCACCGGGCGATGAGGAATGTGAGCATCCTGATATCAACTTGACGTGAAGCGATTGCTGCGTGGAAGCAGGCGGTTCAGGGCTGGAGGCGTAGCCGAGATACAGGGGGCCGAATGTCCCACCTGATCCAAAAAGCTGTGTGTGGCGAATAAATGCTGTGACCATAGTTGGATGCACAAACCAGAAGATCAAGAAAAATCGGGTGGATTGATGACGAAGGAAGAGAAATCAGCAGCAGAATGTGCACATGATGTCAAAGGGCCTCGCGCAATAGTATCTTCGGGGATCTTGGCCATCCAAAGTATTTACTGGATATATGGGGAAAAAGCGAGAGGAAGCGAGAGACAAATAAGCCCTTTCCGACCGCCCCTTTCCAAAGCACCACACAGGGTGATGGAAAAACCCCGCGTGCACCGAAGTCGTGCAGATGCTGAGGACATTTCGTTGTTCGTCTAGTTTGCAGTGCATCGGTGGGGTTTCATGGCGCCGAAGTCCAAGAAAGTCGTTTTGAGGAAAAAGGGCGAGGAGTGATTCAAACTTTTTCTTGACGTTTTGCGGCGAGGGGGGGCCACACGCCCATACCAAATAAATCCCGTCCCGCCCGCCTCAAAAATGATATCCATCAAGCGTGCATGTGCCGGTTGACGTAAAGTGATTTGAAAGAAGATGGCTGGGTGCATTGAATGCTTGAATTCTGCTGTTGTGCGGGCCGTGAGATTTCCTCGTCTCCGTTAGCTTGTCTTTGAGAGACATTAAATAAAGCCCAGTCTCTTCCTAGGAACACACGCCCCCCCAAAATACCACGCGCCCGTTTCTTTTACGCTTAGCAGATCCTTCTCATCTTTCCACAACCAAAGAATCCTTGCAAAAGCCATGATGGGCGAGGAAAAGGAGCATTCTGCCATGGTAGCGGCGCAAATGCAGGCGGTCATGGCGCGCCGGGACATGTCCGAGGTAAGGTATAGGGCCCTGGCAGGGGCTGACGGGCACGGGACATTGCAGTGCAATGTTTGTAGGAAAGGCGACCATATTCTCATATTTCACGATTTTTATAGGTTATTTCAGTGTTTTGACAGCTAAACTTTGTTTTGTGCAACGTAGGTCGTTACTCTGGTCCTGGGCGGAAATTTGAGTGCAGTGTCTCCCCCCTCTCTCAGGGCACGCGCTCATCAGACCACCTTACATGGCGTAGATTTAGCATACGAAGTGAATGATCAGAGCATTTACAACATACTTATAATTAAATCTGCACATTCAAATTCCTATCCAGTTTGTCGGCTTTATTAAAGAGAGCTTTAGAGGCAACTCGGTGGCGGGCGTTGCATTTCTCCGAGAGGCGGTGCGGCGGATGGATTTGCATAACAACGACAGCACTTCCAGCGTTGGGAAACGACAGGACACTATGACCTTGGAGGAAAATGAAAACAATTTGGGACGCGGAGGGAAGGCGTGGCCGGGGATGGGGGAAGAGGAGGAGCAGGGCCAGACGGAAGGGGAGGCGGAGGAGGAGGAGAGAGCGGCGGCCAGGGAGATCGAGCTCACTTCCGGGAAATCACCTGTAGGATCAAATACAATGCTCGAGAGGCCTAGGCATGGGGAGATGGAAGAAATGGACCACAGCAGCACCAACCCTCCGACGCGCGCCGGGGACGAGGAAGAGGAAGATAAGATGGGCAAGGCAGGCGAACAAGGGGCGTGGGAGCGCATGAACAACGCGAAGGTGACCGCCACGTTGGCAGCAGCAGCGGCTGGCGTTATCCAGGAGGCAGCAATGGCCATCGCAGAGGCAGGCGTGTATGAGAATGAGAAGGAAAAAAAACATGTCCTGTCACCGCGCCACGCACAAGACTCTTTGAAGGCAAGCACGCCCCCCCCCGGGGACGGCGAGAGTCCAGAAGGCTCTGTGAGCTCACCCTGTCCCAGCCGAAGCCCCAGGCATCCTGGAAACAGGAGCCACGCCACGGGCACAGGCAAAGGCGACCCTCGGGGGAGTGGGGAGGGGAAGATGAAGACGCCCCGGGCCCAGAAATCCGTCGCCCAGACGATGGAGGAGGACGTGGACTCGTCCTTCTTCCTCCAGGACGCCACAGACCGACAGCTCATGACCCTGGTCATGCTGGTCCCGGATACCCCCCCCGTGCTGGCGGACTTGATCGGCAAGGGGGGCAGCACGGTGGGGGAGATTCAACGCCTGACAGGGACCCAGGTCTCGATCGAACGGCTCGTGCACCGAGGCCGAGAGAGGAAGGTGGCTCTCATGGGGAGCATTCTGGCGGTGGCGACGGCCCAGCAGATCATCACCGCCCGCATTCGCCACCTGGAGGAACATTGCGGCGTGGGCCGAGAGTACGTGCCCCCCCCGAGCACACCCAAGGGCTACGGGGAGGGCGCGGGGACCCTGTCCTCCTCCCCTTCCTCCTCCACCTCCTCCTCTGCGTCCTCCAGCGCCTCCTCTTCCTCTTCCTCCTCGCCTTCCTTCGAGTCCCTGGGGATGCCGGCCTCCCAGTCCCTTCCCCCCTTCCCTCCGGGTCACCACCACCACCACCCTGTCTGGAAGGACGCCCAAGGTTGTCTGAAATTGAAGTTGTG